GAGAAGGTTACAAGAAACAAAATTCCTACCAAATCCAATGTACCTGGATTTAAAAATGGGGAATGGAGGATTCTGGATTTGAACTATAAAGAAAAATAAAACAAAACAACCCAAAAGTACAGAGCTGGGGGGATGTAGTAAAGGGGCTTTCAAGAAAAATGGGGCTTCTACTTAGAGAGGAATTCAGAAACAGAATGGTTCTCGAGATTCCAAACTTGGCGAGAATTCTAGTGAGGAGGGCATGGGGTCTCAAGTGGAATTGATCAGAAGCCAGAGGCGTCTTGATGGCTACCTGTATACATCTTTGCCCGGGAACCAAATAAAATAATGACTTCTTTGGCAACAGTAATCCAACACCCTCTTCCTCTCCAACTATCGTGAGACTAATTGCAATTAGAACTGAAGTTTAAATTTTCCACGGGGGAACTTTAAATATTGAATTGTCAAGGAAAATTGAAAAAATGGTCTCTTCAGATGGACAGTGAAGGTACTGCTCCTTGATTGTTCTTTTTGTCAACTGGTGGGATCATAATTTTAAAAAATTTTTATTGGTACAAGGGCTTTTTATGGTCTTCTAATATGATACATGAGACAAATCTCTTCAAATTGACAGATAATTTTTCCTCTTCCTATGTTTGCAAATTAGGGTTGGAACCAGTACAGCAATCATGGGATAACACTGGCCTCAATGTGCACGGCGAACGAGAACACGACATCTTTACCAATGGAAGGTCTACCCATGGAGCTATGTTGGAACTGTTGCCAAACTAGGAATGGAACTAATTAGGTAGTTTATTTGGTATCTTTTTCACATTCTTTCTTTTTTTTTTTCCCATTGGGGACATGATTAGACAAGGTCTCACTATGTAGTCCAGGCTGCCCTTGAACTCGCAGTGATCCTCCAGCCTCAGCCTCCCAAGTGGTGGGGTTACAGGCAAGCACCATTATGCCAAGACTGTTATTTCCTGAATATACTATTACATACAGTGCTTGTCTGAGATAAACATTCCATTTTCTACAGATACAGGTTTTGTAAATTGTCAATGACATAATGGAAAAAACTAAAGCAAATAATGCATTAAGAGCTGCAGTATTCAGACCAAAGCATTTTATTCTCATGCAAACAAGCTAAAAATATTGAAGATGCCACATAAATGTTTATGCCAAAAAAGCAATAATGTAATGAATAAAATCCTCTCAGGCTCAGGTTAGCAAACAAAAGACAATTATGTTTGGATTACCATAGAAACCTAGGAAGAGTGAAATATAAATTATTTAGCTATAAAAAGATAGTGATCAACCCTACTTTTATAAACTAGACATCTGCCAAAAACTTTTGTCAATAATTAGGTCAAACTACCCAGCTTTAGGAGGAAGTTTATGAATGGTCAGTTGTTTCTGGTCAGCATCAAAGTACCTGATTTTGCTCTCTCCGTATATAAACTATTGAAATCCAGAAAGAACACATTATTTCTAGCTATTATGATCTATTTGTGTGCCATGAGAAAGCCTGAAAAAAACGTTTAGATCAAACAGAGTTCACAGTAAAATGAGTCAACATTTTACAGGAAAAGTTTTATATGTGAGAAGAGCAAAACAATAGTACAGGTTTCAAATATGCTTTCTGTTAGACTTTGTTGGCACTGGATCAAGGCAAGACTGTGCAACAATCCATGGATTACTCCAGTCTTATCACACCATCAGACACATCTCACTTGAGAGCATTCTGCAAAGTATCTGACTAGCACTGCTGAAAACTATCAAGGTCAGTAAAAACAAGACATGATGACGAAATGCAGTATGATATTCTGGATAGGATTCTAGAACAGCAAAGTATATTAGATAAAAATTAAGGAAATATGAGTAGAGGTAGAAACTTTCATTATTAATATTATGTCAACATTGGCTAGTTAAAAGGAGTGTCACACACTAATTTAAAATATTAGTAATAGGAGAAAATGCAGGTGAGATATAGGAGAGGTCTCTGTGTAATGCAATTTTTCTATAAATCTAGTTTTCCAAGAAGCTTTTTTAAATATCCTGTGAATTTTCTTAACCTTCTCCAGAACAAACATGACTATATGTTAGAACTTTAGTGAGCTCTTACTAAATGTTGTCTGCATGACAACTCAATGAATCAAACTCCTTCTTTGGAGTTTTTGGACGCACTTCCTGGCACTATAAAGGCTCCTGGCTCATCTCCTCTATTACCTGGTCCAACCTGTACATTAATTGCCTCAGGCAGTCATTTTTGTTTCCTTTTATTGGAAAATTGAAGAATCCAAGATGGGTTGCTACTGGCATGCCGTTGCTTCTAGGCCAGGAAGTATTTCTTTGTGTAACCATCTGCATCTATTTTAAGCAAAACCATAATTCACACTGTGTGTATCCAACTCCAAATCATTACTTAAGTAGGCCATTTCAGCGTATTGGCAGCCTTCTCCACAGGTCTTCTTTCCCTTGGCCACTCCTCCCTCAGAGTACCAAGGGTGTAATACACCTTTAGTGAGTCTCCAGAGACGTTCGGCATACCAGTATTCAGGTATTCATTCAAAGTGTGCGATTCTGATCCAAAGTTATCGGTGCCAAGTGAAGGGTAGGCTAATTAGGTAAACTGTTTAAAATCGTTACAGTTACAGCCAACTTTAAAAAGATGTACTTTATTAAATAAGCTATATTTATAACTGGAATTTTACTTCTCTGTGCTTATATTTTGGACAGTGTTGGGAAAAGTACTGCCATTGAACAGGACATACACATTCCTTAAACTGTAGAACTGAGAAATACAATCTTTCTTCCCTATTAATCTGTAGTGCAGTTTTTACCTCTTCAGAATTTTTCTGGTCACAGTGGAACTGTCTACTTGCCTACACTCAGATGCATATATTTAACATGTAGGAAAAAAATTTATAAATAATCCCTGACATTAACTTCTTTGTTTTCGTAAGTTTGCACTGTTTGGCATTTAGTGCTCATGACTTCTTATTTAATTTAAACTCATAAATTGTTTTAACTCATACATTTCAAATATGAAATGAAACTTTAAGGAAAATTACTGTGTTCTGTTTTATTATAGCTTTACCATTTAAGCAGCTGGTGAGTCTTTGGCAAATTAACTTTGGAAGCCTTATTTTCTTCACCTCTAGAGATTAATAATCTATTTAGAAAAAATGCTTTATGTGAAATAAATAGCAAATATGAAGGCCATGAATACACCCAGTAAAAACAAATTTGTTAAAACTTATCTACATAATATACAAAATGTATGGAGCCTTCATTTTGCCAAAACAGATGTTTATTTTTCCAATGTTAAGATAATATTGTGTAAAATCATTTCTATTGAATGAATAGGCACTTTAACTTAAAAAACTTGATATTTAAATTTATAGTCATTTACTAATGCAGATAATTTAAATCATGACCGTGGAAATAATGAAAGATAAACAGAAATGTAACTACAGAGGAATATTCTCAAAGAAACAGATTGTCACACTTTAATCCAAATATGACAACTATCATATTATTAGCACTAAGAATTATTCCTTCATACTATTCATCACAAAGGTATCTAAAGTATATACCAAACAATTAGCAAATTAATACAAAAATGAACAGCACAGATTATATTTATTCATTTTTATTTAGCATACTTCAAGGAGAGGGAATGCACTTGTTTGGCACAAATTTGGAAGAGGGCATCATAAAGAAAGGGTTGAATATAAATTTTAAAAAAGACTACTTGAAAATCTGTGCTGAGAAAATAGGTCTCTGGAGTATAACTGGCAAGACACAGTGGTGGAATTCTACAAGAAAAATGCCCACAAATGAAGGCCAGTATGTTTAATTTTTTAAGTGTGTCTTAAATGATGAGGGTGATGATTTCACTCTTTTTCATTCATAAAAAACAGTAGGGTTTCTGTGACTCACCTCAGCTAACAGGTAGAACTGGTGGGTCTGGGGATCATTCTTGTTAAGAATGGAAATCAGCTTCATATTTTAGTTAATGAGGCAAAATGAAGTTTCTGGGAAAGTGTTTCCTTAAACTCAGTGGAGGGTAAAGGAAAGTCAGATACTCCAGTCAATTGTCAATGAAGAAGCATGCTGGGGCAGATATGTTCACTTTACAAAGGAGATCAAACTTACAGTGCAGAGTTGAGAGTATTGCAGAATAATATAATAAAATCCCTCTTGGACAACCCCTGGAATTGTAATTTGTTTTCCATCTGGACTCCTAATTATGAGATGCAATAAAGTCCCTTAATTTTACTAGGGTTCCTGTTAGACCATGGGCATATCCTGATGTGCTTGCTATCTCCTAGGAAACACATCAGAGAATTTCAGTTAAATTGGGTTCATACTGTAAGTCAAACATTAAGGAGTAGTAGGACTAAAACATAACCAGAGGTGAAAAAAAAAGAGATAATAAAAAGAAAAACGGCCATTATTTTAAAGAAATCATTTATGAGAACAAATTACCGCAAACAATAACAGTGAATGAAATATTGAAAGATGAATCAAATAGGTTTCCAAATACTAGACTACACTGTGAGTATACTGCCTTCTTACTCTAGTTATCAAGAGCTAGCAGCCTACTTCCTGAGTGGCCAGCATTTTCTTGGGTCAGTCTATGAAGTTCAAACAAGCACTTTGAGAAGCTGGTAGTAACCCAGTATGTCTTCTTCCCCATTAATACAGCTCTTATGGAATCATAAAGTTTCATTCTCCATGGGACTGAGCAGGTTATTGCTTCCACCACGGGAACATAACATTTCTATGGACTGTTGCCTGAACTGTTTTCATGCTACATATAAAACAACACTTACATTGTGCTTTAAAAAACTGTCTAGGAAAAACACTGGTATAACTTTAGCAACCGTACAAAAATATAAATTTAAGAAAAAGTACTGTCATACTACTTGGTGGCACATGAGATTTAGTACCAGAAGTCTTCAATAAGGGCAGAAATAGAGGAGAATGAGTCTATCCAATTTTTATCTCACCTTTTCCTGACGTAAATTTCTTTCAACTGCTGTGCAACTTGAAGAGAAGAAGCTGTAAAAGCATAAGCAAATTATTTACTGCCCCAGGATATTTCATTCCTCATAACATTTTTAATAATCTAAAATTTATCTTACATTCAGAAAGAAATTCAATAAATTAAATTATACACACACAGAAGTGGCTAATTCACAGCAATTTTCTCTCTCTTGCCTGTCTTGATGAATTTCTGTTCTAGCCTGGAGTGTCCTCTACTACTGATCTCTCTTAATTAGAGTAATGCTCACTTCACAACTCACTTAAAGAATTCCACATGCTATGAAGAGCTTCCCCTCCAAATATTCACTCTTATATTTGTCTTTTCCCTCTCTGTATGAGTTTGAGGCCACAACTCTGCGCTAGTTATCACAGATATGACCTCTTGCCTCCTGCTGACCGTCCTGCTAACTGCCTATGACAAGCAACACCCGTCACCTCAAGGAAGGTGCATTAACTGGAGCAGAACATAGAACAAGGAAGTCAGTGCACTTAACTTCTGGGCTTCACCTGCAAAGGTAGAGCCAATGTTTTTCTCTCTAGAGACATTTCTCAAGTTTACTAAACTGGAGGGGGGCAGATATCAGAGGGTTAAGGGTGGTTTGATTTTTAGAGAAGGTGCTAGGTGAGTTGGCTGATGTCTCAGGCTAAATACCAGGAAGAGAAGAACAATATAAACTTTGACTAGAGAAGAAACGTTCAAGAACATCCTAGGAAGGCAGATGCTAAGGGCATCTGCATGCAGCATGGTATTGTATGGAGTGCGGAAGGAGTTCGCTTTTGCAGGTCTGAGCAAAAAATGGTCTGAGCTAGCTGGGGAGCAGTCTTGTGCCAGTGTGGTTTGGTAGCAAGTTCATGTATTTCTGCAGGCCCTCTGCAGGAATGCCGAGGAACTGAAAGAGTAAGAACAAAAATCTTTACTGGAGAGGGAGAGAAGACAGGGACTAACACTTGCACACCAGATGGGTAATGAATGCACCACTCAGCAGAGGTGGGCTGGCAGGGATCACAGTGACAGAGGGCTGAGGCCACCTGCTGTGCACCTGGACGTGTGACCTGATAAATGCAACAGTCACTGCTGTTTTTAAAAATTTTCTCCAATGTTTATTACTGAAGGAGAGGAATTAGTGACTTCTTTGCCATGAAAGTTTCAGCACAAATACTATCTGCCTACATATTTATCAATTCAAGATGTAAAGAATACGTCTATATCTGCAATATAGTAATGATGCAGGGAATTTGAATCTGTTCTGTAGAAAAAGTTGAGTCAATTTAATCTATCAGCTATATATGCAATTGTTTAAAAAGTACCTTTAAAACATGACTCCTTTACTAAATAATGCCTAATTCACACTACAGTTTAAAATTCCAAATTAGAAGTTTATTTTAAAATAATAAAAAGATAAAAATTCTATAAAAATTTATAGTTTTTAGAGAGACTAGTAGAAATATAAGCAACATTTTAAAAAGAAATACACTATTTTCAAATATTACTTGTAATATCTGAACATTTGGAAAAACAGATGGTTCAGAGTCATCGAAATATCACAAATACATTTTTGTTAATAAATGTGTATAATCAGAATAATTTAAAAATATTATACAAAGATTTCTCCTTCTTATAACTTAAGGTGATTTTCCAGGCTATACAAAATCCAAAAGTTAAAATAAGGACATAGTAAAGGTATATTACTTACTTGAGTCTAGCGTACACTCAGAAAGAAGTTTATGCTTCTTTATGGCTGAATGGTACACTATTATATTAAAAAAAAGCAACACCTTATTTTTTTGGTACCAGGGATCCAACTCCGGACCTTGTGCTTGTAAAGCAGGTGGTGGAACCACTGAGCTAAATCCCCGGCCCAATATCTTTTTTATTTATTGCTTGGTTGATGGGCATTTGGGTTGTTTCCAAGATTTAATTCCCAGTCCCATGCACCGCTGGCTTCTCCGTCTGTGCACAGCCTTCTCTGTGCCACCTCCACTGGTCTCTATCCTGTCCAGCTGCTTATCACGGGGCACAGGGAGGGGACGCTGACGCTGCCCCGGAGACAGCCAAGGCTGCTCCATTCCCCTTCAGTCTCCTCTCCATCGGGTTGAGTGCGGACCTCCCCAGGCTATTTAAATACCACTCTCCTCCGCATCTTTCTATGGAGCCACTGGTCACCACTCCTTTTACCGCCTCCACTGTGCTGAGGTCCTTAACTTTTGCTGGTTTCCAGTCAGGCATGTGACAGAGGAAAAAAACAAAAGAGCTGGTGGCCTGCTGGGTGGAAGCAGTTTCCTGATAGCTCCCCGGGGTGTGCCAGTGAAATTTGCTGCCAGGTGGCAGTGTCCTCTGTGTGGAGGAATGCAAGAGTCAAGGAGCTTTATATGAGTCGCTCTCTTGCCTTTAGTACACATTTCCATTCAAAGAAAGGCAAATGAAATCCTTTGAGTTATTTAAGATGAAGTCTCATCTAACTTTTGCTAGCTGTCTTGTAGAGCACATTACCATCTGGCTCTGTTTTCATTATCAAGATAAACCAAGCATAACAACTAGGAAATGGGTGAGAAAAATATTCACATTACCCTCCAAATGTAACATTGTTTACATACTAGAAGAACTGCCAGCTGTTCTGGACCAGATCCAAGCAGGCAGAGTAGATCTTAAGAAAACAAAAAATGTGGAATTTTTCTTCTGTACATACCATGTCTTCTGTGAATATCTTTATTTCTGCACTTATCTTTCAGCATTATGCTGATCTTATTTCTCTTGTGTTCTAAATATTTGGAATACACTTGTCCCATATCCTTCCTATTATAGGTATATTTTTCTGGTAGGATTGGCTAGGTTAAAGAGAGCTGATGCTCAAGACTTGTGCTCATTTTAATATTGATAGAATTGGACTCTGGGCAACGTATACAATAACTTGGGACTCACTTTCCCAGGGGACTTTGACAACCCAGAAGTTGAGGGAACTCTAGGCAGCACTGTAGAAAATGATTTTAAAGTCATGATATAGAAGTTGGATTCCAGAGCTCACCATTTCTGCGAAGAGAAATCTAAGTTGAACAAAACAAACTAGATGCCTAAAGCTTCAATATGAGATTTCAGTCCACATGAGAATAGAGGCTGGGCACACAGATGGGAAGAAAATGATGTAGAAATACATTTGCTAAAGGAGTCCTGGAGCTTGATGTTAGTCAAATCAAAAGGGCATTTTATTTTGCAGACCTAGGGACTAATGAACAAGTATGGGCCAATGTGACCTGTGTCATATTCTAATGTCTATCCTCATATATGCTATATGAGGTTTCCACTGTATCAGGTTAGTTAGGCAAAGTACTGAGTAGGAGATGCTACCTGTGTCTGCCTTTATCAATCTAGGCCTAGTTTAGGATAAAGGAAATGCCAGGCAGCTCTCTGACCCAGATCATTAGTGAGGCTCACAAAAAATCATTGAACAGACAATTTTCAATAGTTCTTATTCTCTTGAACTTGTCTATTCCTATGTGTAGCTTTATTATACTTACCTCGCATGTGTGCGTGTCTGTGTGTGTTTGAAGTTGTAAAGTCCTCTTTCATTGTTAATAAACTTGCATATTGTAGTACCACATACAAACTGAGGTAGAGACTAGTGAATCTAAAACACTGGTCCTTATTATCGAGCTTACTGCCATGACTGAGTGGGATTTTAGGGTTTTTTTTCCCTTTGGGTGAGAATGGATATGTTTTTGTGTGTAGGACTAAGAGAATGAACCAAATGGACTAATATATGGTAACCAGAATGAAGGCCTGTAGTAATCACTGTGCTGTGCATCACATACTTTCAGTTCACCTCTGTTATGGTTTACATCTGAAGTAGTCCCTAAAAGTCTCTTGTTCGGAGGTGGAACTTTGGGAAGCTCATGGAGGTCCTGTACTTATCAGCAGATAAATCCACTGATGAGTTCTTAGCTGAATATTCTCTTAGGAGGTAAGGAGCAGATGGAGGAGGTCAGGCTCCCTTGCTTTCTCTGCTTCCTGGCTGCCATTGTGGAGCAGTGTCCCTTCACATGCCATTTCTGCCTTGGAGCCAGCTGACACTGGACTGAAACCTCTCAAACCGTGAGCCAAAACAAACCTCATTTCCTTTAAGTTGCAGATGTCATGCATTTTGTTCCAGTGACATAAAAGTCACTAATACAAATCCTTTCCAAGCACAACATCAAAGATATTTCAGTTCCTCTTTAAACTGTATGAAGACATGAGATTTTCCTTGGACCAGTAAATATGATCTGAAATGATGTACATCAATTAGGGGAAGAATGCTAATGATCATGGAAGTGCTAGTGCTCATTCTACCTGACCTGCTGAGAAACCACAATGAGCTAGAGCTCTCTTTGACCAAGGATGAACATATAATATAAGCAACAAGAATGTTTTGTTATGTTAATGTTAGGGACAATTAGAATTATTATCATGGATTATTACTATTATTTATTTTGCACCTTAACATCTCTTCTAAGTTTTATAAACTTTAATCAATCTTTGTACTCTCAGTCTTTTCTGATTCTTCTGATCTGTTTCTCTCACCTCTTTCCTGTTTTCTTCAAGCATGCTCTCACATCAGTCAGTATCTCATAATTTGTGATGGGTAAAGTAGGTTTTTGTAAAGTTCATTAACATTCAACATACAAATGGCTATCGATATCAATCCTTACAACCAATCCTGCTACATGCCACGCTATTCAAATAGAATTGTTACTGACAATATGAATTATCTCTGTGTCATCTGGAAATGACTCACATTAGTTAATGACTGGTGTTAAGTACTGGCCATATGTTCTTGCTGTAAATACCATCAACTGATGGACTGCAGCCATTGTCTAAATTAGCAAGCTTAGATGAGCAGTATAAAAATCTGCAGCATGTTTAGATTCAGTTGTCTTTAGCTGCAGGGAAGGTTAACTCTAAGACATTTAGTGGCTGGTCATTCTTTGATCTGTGGATTATATATTTGCCATCAGAAATCCCTTTAGTGAAGCACATATAT